TGCATACAGTTGTAAGGTTTGATGTGGGAGTTTCCATCGTTGGCATAGCGCCATCATTCAGAGAATTCCATGAACACTCCCCGCTGAAACATTCCAAGTCAGTCAAAGAAGTGAAACGACAAGAGACAATATATATAGGTAAAAAAGATAATAAATACTATGAAAAAGAGAAAAGTCAGATGCAAGCTTAAGTTCATTCTTAAGAAGTACACCCCTAAATCTTCACGATTATACAGCTTCGCGACTGACTTTAAATTATGGTATGTAAGGTATTTACACAGATGCAACTGTTATTTTACTCATTTTGCCACTTTTAATAGACTGACAACAAAGAAGCTGTCACAAAAAAGAAAGCAAACTAGTTGCTGTTGTTCACATAGAATTCAAAACTTAACTTGCGTCACCAAGAGATATTCCGTATCAAGAATAAACCTTTTGAGGTCGGGTGATGTTGAATTAAATCCAGGTCCAGATCAAAATGTGGACAACCAGACCAGACTGTCAGTAGACTCCACAACATTGCTTAACTTTCGATTAGGACAGTTAGGATTGAGAGCTCTTGATGTGGGTGGTGCAGGTGACTGCTTTTTTAGGGCAGTATCACATCAGTTGTATGGTAATCCCAATAGTCACTTTCGCATCAGACAAGCTGCTGTTCACTATCTTAGGCATAACCCTGAACGTTTCATTGAAAGTAATACTCACATGGAATGGTTACTTAACAATTATGTCAATGCAAGGTACGTGGTGTGATGCACTAACTGTACAAGCAGTTGCAGAATCACTAAATATACAAATTTATATTATAATTATATAATTTTGGACAGGTAACTTTGATACAGCCACATCATCCATCACAGCAGCAACCAAGAACAATATATATAGGTCATGTCGATGAAATACATTATGTATCAACAGTACCAAATAGCTCTTGCTCAGGAAATGAGCACTGTAACAATAAGTATTATAATATCAATAATTTCACCAAGCAAAATGTTCTTTCTGAACAAGTACAAAATAGTAGTTGAAAAAGAAAATACAATTCTTATCTGAGGAATATTAGGATAAGCACTGAGAGCAGTGACAACAATGAAAAGCAAAGTTCAGTGACTAAACAAAATAAAACGAATGAGCAGAAAAAGAAATGGAATTCTTACATGAACAATTACAGGCATATCAGAAGGGCTAATAAAAAAAATAAAGGGAATCAAAGAAACAATAAAACGCACAAAAGGCGTCATGCACTTCTGCAAGCCACTGTATTATCAAAATAATCTAATTATGAAGACATGATTGATCATTGATCATTGCTTATACATACTTAAGCAGTTGTGAAATTTAAGCCTGAAAAAATTAAGGTGTAAATTTCACAACTGCTTAAGTTGTGCATAACAACTGCAATGATCAATCATGTCTTCATATCTTTTTGTCAAATATATGGTCTTTTATATAGTCACTTGCATCTTCACCATCTATGGGTATATTACGAACTCACAACGTGATCAGCTCCCAGTTGGCTTGGTAGCTCAGTTGGTAGAGCACTGCACCAGTATCGCAGATGATCAATCATGTCTTCATAACTTTCTCCACAGTTCAAATATATGTTCTTTCATATATTCACTTGCATAATCTAATTATGTTGGGGAAAGCCATATGTATTCCACTCCCCAAAGTGGAAGGCAATAAAAAGTTGGCCTTTGGTTAATTTGTAAACAAAAACCATTTTTTTCTCTTCTGATGCGATGACATTAACTTTACTGCCAGCTTTCTTCCCTGTGAGAGTCCTCTTGAAGTATTGCACAACTTCGGCTGATCTCCGGTGTAATAGCCACAGGTGACGTCACAAGTCGCTTACCATCGGACTTCGCATAAATATAACACTGATTCATGGTAATTGTGTGGTTCTCGGTAGTTCTCTGGTTCTTCAATCACTTCACTATGGGCAATACCAACCCTATCATCTGCATCAACGAGGCCCACTCATTTCTAACGAAGATTACAAGTTTATCGAAAGGTCCTCAAACAAATCTGACCATGGAACGGCTATGCAAGTGTTACGACGGTGATTGCTGAGGGGCAACAAGGGTAAACGTACAGGGGTCCCGTCGGCACGAGTCTCGCTCCTTGCGTTCACTACCCCAAAGCAGTTCCCCGAAACGGTTTGGCTGAAGATGTTGTCTGCTGAAAATGGCCTGGCTAAGCAAGTGCTCCTTTTCTACCAGAAAAAGGAGAAGAAAGACCTGGAGGTAATGGCCCAGCATTGCAAAGAGCTGGATAATTATCCTATCCAGTCTCAGTAGTGCTTGAGCAAATTTATGTAGAACATAACAATGTTCCACCAGTGAAGTACTCCCTGAGTGCAAATGCCCGTGAGGCTTTTTTTCAAATTCACAAAGCCTCAAGATAAGTTGCCAAGCACACAAAGGGCCAGCGTGGAAAAGGAAGCCAACTGCAACAATTCTAAGCGAAACAAACACGTCCTCCGCCTTACTCATAAATTTAATAAATAAAAAATGACTAGTTTCTTTGCTTGCTCTTATCGGTTATAAAGCTTTGTTTTCTTTCCAGTAGTTTTCATACCCAAAAAAGTCTTCTGGGGAGGAGGGGAAGTAACATCTCTAGAACCACACACTCATTTTTAGGGGTATTAATTTTGGCATTTGAAAGGACCAGGTTTACAACTGTAACAACATCAATAACTGCAAGTTCAGTACTGTACTTACAATTTAAGAGTAGGAACGAAAACTTCTCCTATGCTAACATTGTATCAAACTCTTGGTCATGGAACAAGGAAGCCAACATGCATGCCCCTTGGCCATTAGCAGAAATGGACTTCACCAGAATTACTCTATTTTTGTAAAAAATTTTATGTGCCCAGTATTCCATGGTGTCAGAACTTAAAAAAGAAATTCATTTTTAAACCTCCCTGAGTTCCCTTACATGGATGAATTAAGAGAGAAAAGGTATTTGCCATTTACCAGACCATGAAAATATAAACTCCAACTAAAAGTAAAATAATTTTAACTTATGGTGTTTTTAAATTTACCTTTATCATTGGCCAGCAAATTTAATGGCTCTGCTAAGGTGATAAAAGTGGGTGTGGCAAATGAGGATGTTACCCTTGAAATCTTAATTGTGAAAGGGCCATACACAACTGCCCGCCGCGTCTACACAAGCTTTTCCTCGCACTGCCTTCCAAATGTCAATCTGGTCCAAAAGTCCAGGCAAGATCTGGCAGCTGCTGGTCTTGGCATATTTGAAGTCATTAACAAACTGAAAATTTTTTTATAAAATGCTGCCCAGAGATGACCTTCAGCAGAAGCTGGCCAAATATAACATCTCTGTGCAAGACTACAAAACAACATTCCTGAAGTATGATGACAAGCTTACTGCAAGCAATATCTTGACAATGTCAG